CCCCCCACACACACACACACACAACAAAAACGGAACCCGACATATAGATGTTGTTCACAGGGACTGTGGTCTTTACATGACCCTTCTTCAGGTTTCATGTGAATTGGGAGCTGAAGGTGGAACCAAACAAGCAAGCCCCAGTAGGGAATCATGCTTAGTAGTTAAGAAAGTCGGGGAGCGCATACAGCCTTAAAGAGAATTTTGTGTGGGATGAAGCTCGAACTCACAGCCCTAACTTTGAACCTGCGTGCTACACCGTAAGACCTAACTCCATCCTTGCTCCATCCAACGCCGTAAACGTCCAAACTCAGCTGAAAGGGTTCCGGTTTGTACCTCTGATGCATCATGCACTTACGAGTTTCAAACAATATGATCCTAGACCCTAAGTCCGTAAACCCCCAAACCCTTAACCCTTGAACCCAATTCCTCCATAGAGCCTTTGCATTCACGGGCTAATGTAGTCGCCTCGAACTTCCTTTTAAAGATCCGTAAAGCCAGGTGTACGCAGGCTTAAGGGTTTAGGGTTTATAGGCTTAAGATGGCTTAAGGATTCAGAGTGTAGGGCTCAGAGTGGAATAGCGGGGCCCGTCATTTTCCACAAAGTATTACAGCCCTGAGCCCTAAACCCAGTCCTCATTTCAGGTAATCCCCAAAGAATCCCCTGAATGGAGTAAGCCCTATCACTCGAAGCCCTGAAATCCAATGATTATTTATCATTGTGCTTACTGGTATTTATTTGTACGATTCATATGTTATTATTATTATTATTAATATGATCATTTCTAGTTCTATGACTATTGTTACTACCCTACACCCTAAACCCTAATCCCTACTCTTACGACTATTCCGCATAGCTCGGGATGGCCCAGGTTGCTATTCCGCTGCCCCGTCCCGGGCCCCGGAGTCTGCCGAATGACCGGGAGACTGCCGAAGGCAGGACCATCGGGTTGGTTGGGGCCTAGGGCTTCGGGGTTTTAAAAGGCTGGGGGCTTTTAGGTGCTTAGGATGGCTTAGGGTTTTCAGGGTTTAGGGCTTAGGGTTTTTTTAGGGTTATAGGGGCCCAGATCTTTTTTAGGATTTCCTAGGTTTTTTTGGTGGCTTTGGGGTGCAAGCATGCGGGGTTCACCCGGCTCGGGCTTTCATAGGGTTTGATGAATAGGGTGCAGGGCGCAGAAACTCTCGTATAAGGCTTAACGGATGGATACGCAGGATTTTCCTCCATCCACCTGCTTCCGGGCTTCAGCCGAGGAGAGGCCTATAATGTCGGGGAACTTGGATCCAAACAGCGGACAGCAAGTGCTCAGAGCTGCTGCAATCCCAATGTTGACACGGTTTACTGCTTAGGGTTGAGGGAATGGAAAGACCATCCGTAAGGATCCAAATAGCCCAATGTAATCCAATATAGGTAATGTTTAATAATTTTAGGGTTCAGTGCAGGTATTATTTGTATACATGGATCCCTAGGGTATGTTATCAAAGAATTGTTGTGGCCCTTTCAACCCTAAACCCTAAATCCTAAATTTCGTATCCGACTGACCACCGGATCATGAAAAATCAATGAAGGTTGATCAGGGCGAGCTGCGACCAGAAGAGCTGCTTCTAACCCAAACGCACAAGCCCTTTCCCTCACTTCGAAACTGCATTACCGCCTCCCATAGAATATACAGTAATATCGTATAATATAGTATAACATAGTATAATACAGCAAAATATAGTATAATATAGCATCAATAGCATAATATAGTCATAATCCTCAAATATTACCGAGGAAACATAAGCCACTGCATCCGAGAGCCCTCCTGAAACCCGAAAAGGCAGTTCGCCGCCCTTCCGGGAAGCACCGGCCACTCCTGCTGCGCCCTCCGACATGAGGCCCTCCGACATGGGGCCCTCCGACACGGGGACTCGGGCAACTTGCTTCTGACAACCCTTCACGTTACTGGGACCAGGGCCTATAGCCCCCCCCCTAAGTAGATAGAATATGGGGTAGCTGGGGATCCTAGTTTAATATACCCAAAGCCATATTCTATCTACTTAAGGGGGATTGTATACGGTGAGCAGATAAGAGCCGCAGCTGTCAGCGCGCCGGTTGGCAGCTGTAGTTGATGTCGATTCGAGCCGTATTTAGGCGCGAAGGGTTCGCGTTTAGAGGCGCGCGTGCTCGTCTTGCTTAGTTGCAGTTGGGATTTCCTCTGTTTCTGTCATATGCAGTCTCCACCCTGAGAATTTGGGTTTAGGTTGTATCGAAGGAGGCTTCCCCCCAACCCGCAACCCCGATTGAGAAAGCCCTCAACCGTACAGGTATATAGACATACAGTCAAAGCTGCCAAGCACTAGCTCATGACTTTAGCGGCCGACACTGACACCCTGTACAACAACATGATGCAGCGAAACGTTAGCTCGCTCACTGGTTCTGAGTAAGAAATAATAGAATCCATACATTATCCCTATATTACGCTATATGGTCCCTCTGTACGCGAATAGTATACTCCTACATCGCCCTATATTATCTTATTCCCTACGAAGAACCAGTAAGCTAGGATCTTCATCTGCAGCGCAGCAGTTTCAGAGGTGAGGAAAATGCCAACATTGCCGAAGAACGATAAAGAATTGCAACCGCAGCTCATGTGCATATGTGTAAAAATACGAGTTCATGTATATACACATATATACACATACATACATGTGAACTTGGACATATAGGCACGTACATACACAGCTGTGTAAATGTATCCCTCTACACCTTTACCAAGGACCTAAGTCACCCAAGTATCACATTCTCTTCTCCTGACTTCCTAACTTACTTAGAAGCTTGAAGTACTGTAAACTTTTCGGGCTTTCGTTGTGGGTCTCTATAATAAAGTTTACACTTTTTTAGCCCTGGTTATTGGGGAAGAGAGCTAAGGCAGCAGCCACAGCATCAGTCTCCCGGCCAGCTGCCACCCCATCAGCTCCGGACGAACCCAGCGCAAAGGCCTCAGAGGTTGCCATTGGCTTGGCAAAGTACTGGGCTTGGGGAGCCTGATTGGGATTATATGAGCTATAGTCTAAACTCCTTAAAGAGGGTTATATAGGGGATTATATGGGGGATACTAGGAGTTTAGACAATGGCTCATATGGGGGTGCACAGGGACCCAATGGGGTTATACAGAGTTTGTCTATAGGGATGAAAGTAGGGTTTCTATAGTACGTATAGGCAGGGTTTATAAGTTTACATAGGTGCTATAGGGCTTAAAGGAGTGGTCCATAGGGTTTGGGGGTTTAAGGATGTTATCCCCAATATGGAGAATCAAATGGAACATGCAATAGAACATGAAACGGGAACAGGGGCTGGCTCACTGATGTAATGGTCTTATTCTGGGGGAAATCACAGCTAGCTCACATGGCCTCATCTTAGATGGTGGTTTAAAACCTAAATCCGACCTCCCTAACCACAAGATAATCCCAAATTAGGGTTAAGGTTTAGGGTTTAGGGTAACCCCAAGGGTCCAAGGACCCCAATAATGGGGCTTTAGGGCCCAAATACCAGTAATATAAAACTATTTGGGCCCTGAAGCCCTATTATTGGGGTCCTTGGACCCTTAGGGTAACCCCAAGATAGTCCCAAGGTAGTTTAATTTCAGGTTATGGAATGAATTTGTATATATATATATATCTAATTCATGGCCAGATTTGGGTTTGTGCTCCATGTAACTTAACGGCCCCTTTAAAGGGGTTGTAGTGGTTACACAGGGGTATCCAAAGCAATATATGGGGTTGAGGCTTCAGGGTTTTTATGGCTTAGGGCTCAGGGCTTAGGGGGTTGTAGGGTTCGCATTGCGATGGAGGTTTTCTAGCACAGAACATCGACCGTTGCCGCCTTTCCCGCCTCGGGCTGGAAATGGGGGAAATAACGTCGCCGAACCAACGTTATCGCGGTTTTGCTGGCCTATACCTCCTGTAAGAAGAGTCCTGGCTTTTACAGAAATGTCCTGGTAGGGCTAGACGGTTGCCAGCAACGGACCCGTGGGATTTTTTTTTGCACGCGCTGGCAGCTTGCTCAAAGGTTGCTTTTGATCATTCTTGTTAGCTTTTAAACTCTTCGATGTGGGAGCGAGCAGGCTTGCAACGTAGAGAGCACACGCTGTTGATACAGAATCCTAGGATGCAGTATACGGCACAACAGCAAAAACTGGCAAGGGGCTGAACAAATAAGGCCCTGAACATAGCTTGCGCATGTGCATTAGTTCATTTTTCAATGTCGCGCGTATTCAAGAATGAAATACAGACAACGTTAGTGTACAACGAAGGCTCAAAGCTATATACCTAATTTGGATACTCCCCAGATGATCCTTCAACCCTTAAGCACACGCCCCAAGCCCACATTGAACAAGAAGCCATATGAGCTAGAGTCTAAACTCCTTAAAGAAGGTTATATAGGGGATCATGTAGAGGACTGTTATAGGGGTTGTTGAGGGGGATACTACTGCACGACTTTAGACTATGGCTCATATGCTGCACAGAGATCCTGCTATGTGTGTTGTAGCCCCAGCGTTGCATGGCTTGTTGGATTCAGGTGCCTTTCACATGCACGTTTGGAGAGGACGTGCAGCAGCTGGGTTTTCGCATCAAGTGGACTGGAGACAGGCGGGGTTTTCAGCCTAGCCCCTCTGCCAGCAGGTCCTCCATGTGCCAAGAATGGAGACGCACGTGGAAAAATGGAAAATGGATTATGAGTGGATTATGAGAGGTATAGGGTTCTCTAGCAGGAGATCCACTTTTATGTGTTCCGAACATGTGAGTGTTTGCCCCCAAAATGGAGGGACTCATTCTAAGTATGGGAGTCCGGATAACAAGGATTATGGTATACGTGGTCCTTAGTGAGGCCACAGAGTTGGTCTGTAGTTTTTGTAAAATCATAATATGGGTTGCCACTACGGAAATCTAATGCGATAGTATGATGATTTAGTGAAGACTTAGGTTTGCTTGTAATGGTAATTTAGATGGGTTCCAAGACAGCAGCCTTTGAGCGTGCAAGCTTGCTGGGAGCCTGTCTTTTACCACGCCAGCGGCTCCGGCTTATCTTCTGCAGGGAGCAATTACCAGGCACCTAGATTCCCAGTAAGCAGATATGTAAATAGAAATGGGGGTTGATCTAAAGGTCCTTGAGGGAAAGTTTATATGGATGGGTCACCAACATAGCAAGAGACATGTTCGCGAAAGATTCGCCAAGGCACCGCGCAAGTATTTTTTCTCGCGAAAGTTGTTATGTAGCGCAACGTTTGTACTGAGCTTGCCCGCATATTCCAGACTCTCACATTCCTGCTAGGCTGCTAGGATTGCGAAAATCACTAGCTCCCCAGCAAGAAGCTGTACTAAGGATGCCAGGGAGATTGCGTAAAGTAGTTGCGTGCAAGTCTGGCGCAAGTTGAAGCTGCCTTTTCTAGGCAAGGGCTCATTCTAGATGCGTGTGTACTAGTACTGCTATTGCTCTTACTCCTATCAGTAGTACTCCTGTTATTGCCGTTGTTATTGTTATCACTGGTATCTAGATTGTTGCTCTTACTACTTTCACAATCACTTGTGATGTTACCATTATTATTGCTTGTAAAAGTACTCTTTCTAGTCATGAATTCAATGTTGTCATTGCCATTAGTAAAATTAGTGTTGTTACTATGACCCTAGCTATCTCTATGTTATTGATCTTATGAACTCTACCAATCTTATTAGTATGAATACCACTACCAGACACAACTTTTTTGGTACTGCTAGTCCTTGCGCATTAGAACCATTATCACTGTCACTGTTACTGAGTGTTGCGCACATTCTTGTGTTAAACTTGCACCGCGATGGACCGGCTAAAGTTTGGCAACTGTGTTCTGTAAGTGAAGACGGTCTTTTCGGGATGAAGGAATTTAGAACAACTCTCATAATATGTATGTGTATGTGTATATATATATAGATATATATTCTATATTTATCTATTTGTGTATCAATTCATGTTTGCCAGGAGTCATTTGGGGATGATTCTTACAGGGGTGTGGAGAAGTGTGTGTGGTTCCATGCACACCAGATAAGATACAGTCAGTAGATGCCTTCAGAGTAGTCGTCGAGTATCGCAGGAATAGCAACCTGAATAACGTCATAGAAGAACATGTTAAACCACAGTGCCTCAACCTCAACTCGAGGTACCTCCCCCTCAGCCCGAAACCTTAATCCCCAAGCCCCAAAATCTGCCTAAACCCTAAACCCTAAACCCTAAATCCTAAACCCTAAATCCTAAACCCTAGATCCTAAATCCTAAAACCTAAAACCCTAAATCCTAAATCCTAAACCCTAAATCCTAAAACCCTAAATCCTAAGCCTTGAAGCCCAATACAGCAGATGAAAGGCCGACAATCCAAACCGTGGATTCCACAGGTCACGCATACCGGAGACGCTGGTCTGATTTTTTGGGGATTTAGGGGTTTGGGGTTTAGGGTAGGTCCCTAGAAATCCAAGTATACAAGTTAGATATAACAATAATGGAGACTCAAACGGAGAAAAACATGGAAAATAAATTGAAAACTGGTGTTATATAGGTGTCATTTAGGGATACAAGTATACAAATAATACCTACATTCGGCACTCGAGCCTTAAGATATTACCCTAAGGGTCCAAGGACCCAAATAATAGGGTTTTGGGGCCCCAATACTATAACATTACAGGTATTTGGGACCTAAAGCCCAATTATTTGGGTCCTTGGACCCTCAGGGTTACCTACATTGGGCTATTTGAATCCATAGCGGGTCGCTTCTCAAAATCATGTCCAGCTTGGGTTTGGGCAGCCTGGATGCTTTTGGGACGTTTCAAAAGCCCTGTATGTTACAACCACCACTATGCTCTTCTCTTGTGATTCGTGGCACAGTCGGAACCAGGCAGAGATAATTCATGTGCAAGATGGCGCTACCAGTCAGCAGCAAATCCTGCGATGCTGGTCTACAGAAATCCCTCCTCTACCATTCGGCCTTTACCCAAAGAGCCCACTTGTTTGAGACATCTGGTATTCTGCTTGCGCTTACTGGAAATGTAGTTCAATATCTTTCTTAAACTTAAGGCGCATCTTGCCGTAAATCCTGAGACCGGTCGCTAGGGTGGGGGCCCAAAACCCTGCAACACCAAAGCCCGCAGCGTAGTTGAGCCAGGTAAGTGCGGGATAGGTACCCTACGGGCAATACTTAAAGAACCTAGGTATAATCCCAAAACTTGTATCTAATAGATACCAGTTTGGGGTCTACATCAAGGTTCCTTAGGTAAACTTTTCATTTATGATGATATCTCAGTATGGGACGAGTTCTTGCCGTTTGTACCAGACAGGTGGAGTGCGAGAGGCGGATACCATAGTCGCAATCAACGGTACCGACACGGAGCGCCAAGCAAGCGTCACGGCAGATATTTCAGGTGCAGAGCCCATATTATGTGGGGTTCCAGCAAGTATGGATCCTTGTACTCCAGAATACAATGATTTTGGGTGTGTAGAACGGCAAAATCCCAAACCCTAATCCCTGCAAGCCCATATGTATGTATATATATATATATATCTATCTCTCTCTCTCTCTCTCTCGCTCTCGCTCTCTCTCTCTCTCTCTCTTCAGTTCTCAAAAAAATCCTTTCTCCGTGTAGACAAACCCTAAGCCCTTGACAGGTCCCAGGCAAACCGCGGCAGTCATAACGATTTCTGCAGGTCGCTTGAAGGGTGAGGGGGCTTTACGGGGGCTACGTAGATCGGGTTCGTTTAGGGATTATAGTGTTTAAATAGATTATAGGGACTATATAGGGGTTATATAGGGATTCCAGGGATGATGTGATATGTGAATGCTAGAATTACCTCTGAATTTCCCAAAAGCAAGGAATGTGATTCATTGCATTGCTGGCTTGTATGATCGAGGAGACGACCTCTTGCCGCTGCTACGTGATCGCCCGCTGAAATTGATCATGTTTCGGGAGACCAAGGAAGAGGAGCCAAGCAAAGTTGGCATTTTGGAATTCCGGGATTTCCCAGACACCTACACCCTACCCCGTCTTGAGGATGGATACCTGAATGCATGTTGTCCGCAATATAAACAGTCGGGTACCCTTCCCCAGCCCTTGTTCAGTTTTCACGACGTCATGCGTGAAACGGTGTGTCCAAACTGAGCAGGAAGCTTTATAGCGACCTGAACTAGGCACCGGCATGGCATTTGTGCTGTCTCAATCTATCCATGAAGCAATGTAAAGGTACTCTGCTGACATTCCTAAACAGAGGCTACTCTTGATGCCTTGGGCTTCCAGTAAGATTTGTATCTACACCTGGACTGGTCTGGCTTGAATAGGTCAACAGGCGCCTGAAACTTCCAGCGTTCACAGTTGAGGCCGTTTGCTTTTCCAGCCCTGAGCAAGCTACTCATGTGACTCGTAGTGACGCAGGATCTAGGTCATTGTTTTCCATCTCAAACAGGCCCCTTAGGCCGGACATTCGCGTTGGACTGTCTTGAAGAATGTAAGGTATAATGAAAGCAGGAATGTTCAATTACAGGGGCGTGAGGGCAGCTTCGGCTTTGCGACGAGCGTTCAGGATGAGAGGTCCTCGCCCCCGACGTCTGTGCAAGCTTGCGTGGCTCACAACCACCCGCGGAAACGTAAAATGTAGCAGGCCGTGCACGATGTGAAGCACCCAGCAAGTGTGCGAAGCGGAAAGAGGCTGGTTTGTTAAAGTTGTGTTCTCGCAATCAGCGGCGATCCAAGCCTTGCTTCCGCAGAGACCCCGTCATGCTTGACGGCAGGCTCTTGCCGCCACGAGTTGTGCCCAATGCGCGGGTTTTTTCATTGGGGGTGGTTGAAGAGTGTTTTACCTGCTTGCTCTTGGCTTTGGTAGGTCAAGTGGCTGCCGACTAGCACCCTATACAGGTCTTAAAGGTGCTGACGGCAGCGGTGGGAAAATCTGTTTTATTTGTGCCCCAAGGCCTTCCAATGGCAGCCGTTGCCCATTGTACGCCTGCTACAGGAACAGTTCCAAACACTGGAAAGGTTTCGCACTGACGGGGCAGATGGACGTACACCTCGCCAAGTAGCCAATAGGCCAGCATGCTAGTAGCGGCGGGGGATGGTTTTCGAATCAGCCTTCTGCTTGAGGGTTGCATGTTGGAACGATGCGGCATCTGCAGAGACCCCGCACGCAATCGAAAAAGCATGGTCATTTTCTGTACGCGCCCATGGCCTTTTATGAAACTTTAAACTCGCAGTTTGCGCGGTTGGGAATGGCAAGCGTCGTGGCTTGGCCGACAACTGCGCCGCCAGTCAGATCTACAAACCGTATATAATGTGTAAGAGCACATTACCCCACCATACTGTAACGGTCCGAGACCTTATCTACTAACATTATCACGCCTGCTACTACATTGGTTAGGAGGACATGCTCTCATGTGATCACGGGGGTCGGGCCCTTAGCGTTTCCGACATCCTTTTTTGGGAATGTCAATACCGCTGGGCCATCGAAAGCCAGCATCGCAGGTACGATGTGGGCAATTCTGGGCAAGCCTTGCCAACATTAATTTCGCCGTTCTTACCGTTTCATTTGCTACTCACGCGCATGTCTAATTGCACAGTGGACACGAACTGAGAAGAGCCGC